GCCTAGTTTAACACTACCGAAACACTCTCAGTACACACAGTTGGATCATGTATTATGTATAGCCTTGAGCCTAGTTTAACACTACCCAAACACTCTCAGTACACACAGTTGGATCATGTATTATGTAGAGCCTTGAGCCTAGATTAACACTACCGAAACACTCTCAGTACACACAGTTGGATCATGTATTATGTAGAGCCTTGAGTCTAGATTAACACTACCGAAACACTCTCAGTACACACAGTTGGATCATGTATTATGTAGAGCCTTGAGTCTAGATTAACACTACCGAAACACTCTCAGTACACACAGTTGGATCATGTATTATGTAGAGCCTTGAGCCTAGATTAACACTACCGAAACACTCTCAGTACACACAGTTGGATCATGTATTATGTATAGCCTTGAGCCGAGTTTAACACTACACAAACACTCTCAGTACACACAGTTGGATCATGTATTATGTAGAGCCTTGAGCCGAGTTTAACACTACACAAACACTCTCAGTACACACAGTTGGATCATGTATTATGTAGAGCCTTGAGTCTAGATTAACACTACCGAAACACTCTCAGTACACACAGTTGGATCATGTATTATGTAGAGCCTTGAGCCTAGTTTAACACTACCGAAACACTCTCAGTACACACAGTTGGATCATGTATTATGTATAGCCTTGAGCCAAGATTAAGAGGCGACTAATTGGATCGGGTGGTCAGGCTCTCTGACTTGGTTGATGCATGTCATCGTATCCCAATTTTGCGGATTGATGCTGACGTGATGTCAATCACTGGATTGTCTGGTCCAGACTCGATTATTAACAGACCTCTGTCATGTAGCTGGAATATTGCTGAATTCAGCGTTAAACAACAGACAAACAATCAAACAAATTCCAGAAACATATATATATGGTGCACTCATAAAACGGGGAAACAAACCAACACACATGGAGATTTTCTTTTTATGTTCAAGAATTGACTTTAATATATATTATGTTTAATGTATTATGAATGTAAGAATCACTGTGTTATGCTTATTTATGCAATCATAAAGGTTGTTATGTTTATAACCCAATAAATGCAAAAGACATATTGAAATCAATTTCAATTCTTATAAATAACCATGAAGTTCACAGATTGCTTAAAGTAACACAGCTTTAGATGAAATCAGTGACATCATTCAGCACAATATTACAGCATAAGCCCACCCATTCAATTATCAACCAACCAGGAAAGAGTAGTCCATTAGTGGGCGTGGCCTTATTTCTGTTCACACCCGTGAAGATGCGGGGTAGAATAGACCTTCAGCAACCCATGCTTGTCGTAAAAAGCGACTATGCTTGTCGTAAAAAGCAACTAACAGGATTGGGTGGTCAGGCTCGCTGACTAGGTTGACGCATGTCATCATATCCCAATTGCGTGGATCGATGTTCATGATGTCAATCAATGAATTGTCTAGTCGACTCGATTATTTAAAGACCGCCATCACTGCTGGAATATTGCTGAGTGCGGCGTTGAACAACAAACAATCAACAATCAATAACTTCTGTTCGGTTTATGGAAATATAAATGGAAAGAGAATGCTTTAGTTCGCCACACCACGGAATCACTTGCAATCTATTGAGTGATACTTGGGGACACTAAGATGATGTGAAAGGCAGGCGGAGATTAAAATCTAATAATTGATTTATTTTTTTCTCATTGAAGGTCAGCAAGGTAACCATGGTTACTCATACAGGTGTCTGTTTATACTTTTCTTATGTCATTGGAGCCATCGGATGACCTCTTGGTAAATGCATGTATAATGAATCTGGAAAGTCGATGGTTCGATCACCAGCCGCGTCATACCAAATGACGTTAAAAGAGGGTGCTTGTTGTTACCCTGCCTGGCACTCTGCTTTAAGGGGGTAAAACAAGGACTGGTTGATTCAGAATCTGTATACTGTGTTGGAATGGGGTATCAATGTTAAACTGTGGCATGGTATCTCAGTGGCCTAGCACTTTAAATCAGGCATCGGTCCGGACAAGTTCAAGCAACCACACACACACATGTGTGCATGCACATTGCTATATAAGTGCAGTAATCTTGAACGCGTTGTTAAAATCCATTTCACTTCACCACCTCAATCTCAACGTTGTTGTGACGTCAATGTGTAGAAAAAAATCAACACTGGAAATCAATATAATTGTTCAGATAGTTTGGATGTTTGTGTACATGTATCCAGGGTACAAACATGGTTTGATTGACAACCTTCCAATTGTGCTGTGACATCCTGAATATGTCAGTGTATTTTGGTAGATAATAGATTTGGATAATATTTTGACTTGTAATTATTTATGAGCTTGTGGTGACATTGTGGTGTGGGGTGACATGGGGGCTTGATGACAGGATTAGAGCAAGGGTGGACCATTGATTTAATCTCCTGAATGACATGATTGGGGCAAGGGTGGAACATTGGTCCAATGATCTCCTGAATGACATGATTGGAGCAAGAGTGGACCATCGGCCCAATGATCTCCCGGGTGATGACGTGATTGGGGCAAGAGTGGATCATTGGTTCAGTGATCTCCTGAATGACATGATTGGAGCAAGAGTGGACCATCGGCCCAATGATCTCCTGGGTGATGACGTGATTGGGGCAAGAGTGGATCATTGGTTCAATGATCTCCTGAATGACTTGATTGGGGCAAGGGTGGAACATTGGTCCAATGATCTCCCAAGTGATGACATGATTGGGGCAAGGGTGGAACATTGGTCCAATGATCTTCCAAGTGATGACATGATTGGAGCAAGAGTGGATCATTGGTTCAATGATCTCCTGAATGACATGATTGGAGCAAAGGTGGAACATAGGTTCAATGATCTCCCAAGTAATGACATGATTGGGGCATTAGGGTATGACATTGGTTTAATGATCTGAGTGATGATATGACCATTGGTTCAATGATCTCCCAAGGATGACATGATTGGGACAAAGGTGAAACATGATTGGGGCTATGGCATACCATTGGTCCAATGATCTCCCAAGTGATGACATGATTGAAGCAAGGGTGGACCATCGGTTTAATGATCTGAGTGATGACATGATTGGAGCAAGGGTGGAACATTAGTCCAATGATCTCCCAAGTGATCACATGATAGGAACATGGGTGGAACATTGGTTTAATGATCTCCAACGTGATGACATGATTGAAGCAAGGGTAGATCATTGGCCCGATGATCTCCCAAGTGATGACATGATTGGAGCAAGGGTGGAACATTGGTCCAATGATCTCCCAAGTGATGACACGATTGGAGCAAGGGTGGAACATTGGTCCAATGATCTCCCAAGATGACACGATTGGAGCAAAGGTGGAACATTGGTCTGATGATCTCCCAAGTGATGAAATGAGTAAGGCAAGGGTGGAACATTGGTCTGATGATCTGCTGTAAGATGGTTTGAATTCCACATCTGATCTGTTTGTGGCATTGGTTGATAACCATGTCCTTTGGTTTAACTACAAGGATTAAATTCTACAACCTGAGTCCTTTAGGCGTTCCTCCCAGATCAGTCATATGACTGAAGTACTGTTCAAAGCACTGTTAACCACAACTCATTCACTCATGCAACATTTACAAATCAATGTTCACTATAAGCTTCTTGTTGATGCATAATATGTTTTATTTTATGTTATTATACTACTGTACCTATGACCATGGTTATATACGTTTTATGTGATTGATGCCGTTATGCCCTTTGACTACATATTCAATACGTGAATTGATGCATTGGCACAGGATTAATGAGATGTCCTCAGATTTTTTTTTTGCAGTAGCAAGAACTAGGATCTTATATTTCAATGAGATTGAGGTATGCATCACTTGGCGATTTTTTGAGTGATATTATATACACGATTACCAATCACTTCACACGCGATTTCGCCAAAATTATGCAAAAGATATTGAATGAAATTTTAAATAAAATATATAAAATTTATGACAAACATAAGTCCAGATATACAATGAACACGTTTTTATGACCAGATTGTATAATAATTGGATTAAATGACGTACTTCAGTTTGGTTTTGTTGACTGGTATTTCCAGTGTTATGTACTTGCAGCGAGCAGCTGATACTGTTTTTTGAGATGGAGAAAAACATCGTTTTAGTGTAAACCTTGAGTTAAATATATATATTGGGAGCCATACATTACCATGCTATAATCGAATTAGCGCTATATTGAAGGGTGCAAAAGCGAGGGAACACTGTAGTAGTTGCAGCTGTGTTAACCAGCCTCACTCACTCACTCACTCACTCACTCACTCACTCACTCACTCACTCACTCACTCATGTACTGTGTTTGACTTACAGAGAGATCCACAGGAGTACAAGACAACTGACGACTCACTCACTCACTCACTCACTCAATCACTCACTCACTCACTCACTCACTCACTCACTCATGTACTGTGTTTGACTTACAGAGAGATCCACAGAAGGAGTACAAGACAACTGACGACTCACTCACTCACTCACTCACTCATGTACTGTGTTTGACTTACAGAGAGATCCACAGAAGGAGTACAAGACAACTGACAACTCACTCACTCACTCACTCACTCACTCATGTACTGTGTTTGACTTACAGAGAGATCCACAGAAGGAGTACAAGACAACTGACGACTCACTCACTCACTCACTCACTCACTCACTCATGTACTGTGTTTGACTTACAGAGAGATCCACAGAAGGAGTACAAGACAACTGACGACTCACTCACTCACTCACTCACTCACTCATGTACTGTGTTTGACTTACAGAGAGATCCACAGAAGGAGTACAAGACAACTGACGACTCACTCACTCACTCACTCACTCACTCACTCACTCATGTACTGTGTTTGACTTACAGAGAGATCCACAGGAGTACAAGACAACTGACGACTCACTCACTCACTCACTCACTCACTCACTCACTCACTCACTCACTCACTCACTCATGTACTGTGTTTGACTTACAGAGAGATCCACAGAAGGAGTACAAGACAACTGACGACCCAGGTCTCAAGTTTGATCTTCTCACCAGTGTGTTCAGCACCCTGCTTACCCTGGTAAGAGCTGTAATGGTATCACACGTGTCTTATACCTTCACACTTGGAGGAGTCCAAATTTACTACCCGGGTACCCAACTCCCTATAACACAACCCTACCCGTGTACCCGCTGTAGGTCTCAAGAGGTAGGTATAAAATGTCCGATTGGGAATAGTTTGACCTTGCAAAATGTATTTAGATACACGTATAAAACGATCTGGTCATTCATACACTGAAGTTGAAGTAGTTTTTTCTTTATTTAACATATAAAAGTCAGAAGAGAGATTGCATAGTCAGAAAGAAATGGGAACATAAGTGACTTGTAGTGTAACCATATAGTTGTAGGTCATTTTCGTCATTAGACAATATATCACATGACTAACCACAGGTCCAAGTAGTCCTGTGGGAACCCGGGTCCTTCTCAGTACCCACCCAACCTGAGTACCCGAGTTACCCATCCCAGCCCTACTTCACACATATTCCTTTTACATATGCTTTATACCATGACACACGTGTCTGGCATGAGGTCCTGTGTACTGGGCACAGGTCACAAATCAGGTGAAATTCATGGGTGACTGTGTTGGCAGCTTGACTCCTGAGAGTTCTAGGGCTTTGGTCCTGCCCCACACTGCAGCACATGTAGCACATGTAGCACATGTAGCACATGTGATGTCTCCTTGGGCAGTTGACTTTGTTTGAAATAGTGTCCCCCGTCGGGATATTGCTGGAATATTGCTAAAAGCGGCGTAAACCCATACTCACTCACTCACTCATTGTTTAAAATATGCCTCTGTTCACCCAGCAGTGGATGGGTACCCGATAGTGCCTCACAGGCAGCATGGGTTGTACTTTCCCCAGGGAGCTGAGAATGAAAAGATCAAGTGCACACTGATCCATATGACTTGGTGATAATAATGTATCACTTTGAGCATGCATTGTGAGTCCACAATGGGACTAGATTGTTCTTTCCCTGACACATACATGCCTTAGGGTAAATGGCTGAAATATTGAATATTGAATTGAACTCACTCACTCACCTTAGGGTAAAAATAATAATAGTCTTGGTTCTCAGGCACTGCCCGCATCATCATAAAGTCTGTCACACGTTTTTTGTTTTTTTTTCAATTTTCAAAAAATTTAAAAATCATACAAAATCCAACTACATGTACTTAAAAACAATGCGGCCCAATATGGCACACAGTTACTTCCCTTTACATGCGCACTGCTTTACTGCGCATCTTATGCCATTGTTATGGCAGCAATAGCAGTTTGTATGCTTGTTTATGTAGGGGCAGACCTTTCCCATGTTGATTGTACACACCTGTTTATTTGGTTAAATACTTGTTTGAACATGCAACAAAAATAAAACCACCGCCTGCCCGCACTATATTTTCAAAATTCTTTGCCTGACATCTATGACATCACACACACTGCTATGACATCACACACTCAGTGCTATGACATCACACACACACAGTGCTATGTGGGTTCTGGTGACTTGCTTGATTACATGTTATTCCGGGTTAGAATAGGTCTTCAGCAACCTATGCTTGCCGTAAAAGGTGACTATGCTTGTCGTAAGAGGCGACTAACGGGATCAGGTGGTCAGGCTCGCTGACTTGGTTGATGCATGTCATCGATCCCAATTGCGTGGATCGATGCTCATGATATCAATCACTGGATTGTCTGGTCCAGACTTGATTATTTACAGACCGCCGTCATATAGCTGGAATATTGCTGAGTATGGCGTTAAACAACAAACCAATCAACCAACCAACATGTCATTGTATCCCAAGTGCGGAGGTCAATGTTCATGATGTCAATCACTGGATTGTCTGTCAAGACTTGATTCTTTAGAGACAGCCGTCATACAGCTGGAATATTGCTGAGGGTGGTGTTAAACAACAAACAAAGCAGCATTAAACCTGAAAGACTCTCTCTGCTCAAAGGGGCGGTGGGGCGGTCAGGTAGCCTAGTGGTTAAAGCGTTCGCTCGTCACGCCGAAGACCCGGGTTCGATTCCAGACATGGGTACAATGTGTTCAGCCCATTTCTGGAGTCCCCTGCCGTGATATTGCTGGAATATTGCTAAAAGCGGCATAAAACCATATTCACTCACTCACTCAAAGGAGCGGTGGGGTAGCCGAGTAGTCAAAGCATTTGCTCGTCATGCTAAAGACCGGTATTCGATTCCTCACATGGGTACAATCTGTGGAGCCCATTTCTGGTGTCCTGTGCAGTGATATTGCTGGAATATTGCTAAAATAGGCATCTCACTCACTCTGCTTAATGTCGTGTTGCAGCCCCAAGATCTCCAGAAGGAAGTCCTCAAGGCCATCATCAATAGCCTCCTCAAGGACAAAAGGTAGATGCAGCTCCAGGCAAACCAAGATGTACTGACTGGAACAGATAACTGGCACTAGTCACTGGCAGTAGTCATGATTTGGACAATTTTTCATTTGAAAACAAAATCACAATTACCATTTTTTGACTGCACTAAATATGTCACTCAAAAGAAGCACCCATTTTTTTTCATATAACTCTAGTTTATCTGTCATGGCAGATGTATTATAGTAATATGAAAGAATCAGGTGTTCTTTAACTTCTTTTGAGTAGTACAGTAAACTATGGTTATAACGAACTCAAAGGGACCACTAATTTTAGTTCGCTATGACCGTACAGTAAAGTACGTTTATAATAAACGAACACGCTTATAATGAACTGACGGATATAACAAACTAACTTTTTGTTCCCGACTATTTGCTGTAGTTATGCTGTATATATGCTTATAACAAACTAAGGTTATAACAAACTAAAATTAGAGGTCCCTTCGAGTTCATTATAACCGTAGTTTACTGTAGTTCCTTGTAAGCATAAATACAGGATATATACAAAAAATATACAGCAAATGCATGGGGATCAAAAACATTTGGTTATATATGTCAATTTTTATAAGCGTGTTTGTTATAAACGTAGTTTACTGTATATAACGTTACCTTGAGATAATGTACATGTAATTGTTAGATTTTCTTTCCTGCTGCCCCTTTACCAAACACCCAGCCTTGCCACATACGAAGAAAATCACTGTGTTCCGGGATGGCGGGGTCATTTTGTAATTAAAGCATTCACTCGTCAAGCTGAAGGTCTGGGTTTGATTCCCCACATAGTTACAATATATAAAGCCCATTTCTGGTGTCCCTGCCGTAATATTGCTGGGTTATTGATAAAAGTAGCGTTAACTCCAACTCACTCGCTGTAATGTATGTTCCCTACTTTTGCTACCCAATGAAATACACTGTACATATAGTCCAGCCAAACATTGCTTCATGTATAGGGGGCACGGGTTGCCCTGTCGTCTAAGGCGCTGGTATTCGCTGTGCAGAGTTGCGTCCCTTGGGCACGCCAGAAACCTATGATTGTGGGTTTAAATCCCGTTTCGCCCCGATTATGTTTCTAGGTTTGTCAGCACCATACCTGTGCTCGTGGGTTTCACCGAAGTGGTAACCCTCTGAGACCTGCATCACTTCGGGCTTCCCTCCCACATTAAGCTGACATGCCGTGATATAACTGGAATACTGTTAAAAGCGGCATTAAACCCAACTCACTCACTCACTCACTGCTTCATGTATAACAGTATACACAGATGGTTTATGCAGTTTGTTTAAAAATTAAATGTAAATTTCAAATGCCTTTCCCAAAATTGCATCAATTTTTTTTATTGGTTTATTGTGGACATAAGTACTGAGTCAGTGCTATATATATGCAGCCTCATTATGTTTGCTAAGTCCAGACTTTTTTTGGCCAATAAAATTCTGGTCAGTAGGTAAAAAAATATAAAAATAAAAATTCCAATTTTTATGTGTTTGATTGATTTCCTCAAAATGTTAAGTAGGTAGGGACAAAAGTAGAAAAAAAGAAGGGGCTTGCGGAATAGGGAAAGAAACAGGTTTACAGATACCTCTCCTCCGTCATAGACACAAATCTGTCACGTTTCGTCATAATTCGTAGTTTTTATTATAAATTTCCCAGAGGTATTAATTGTAGTTTTAAAATGATTATTTATATTGACATCAACAGTAAATGAGTTTGTTTTTTTCCTTTCATTTATTTCTTGGCAGAATGTATAAAGTCCTGCTTTTCCTTTTTTTCACATTTCATCTCCCAGACCCTAGAGAAAAAAATTAAAAAAGGAGTCCAACTCAAGTCTAGAATGATTTGGCAAGTCTAGATTTGCCTCAGCTCTATCCTGAAATTAAGGATTGTTCTGGGCTCCATTTGGATTTTATTGTTTTTATTTTGCAGATATATATTTTTAAATAAGATATCTTTATATCTGGGACTAACTGTCAGTTTGCTGTGAGTCCTGTGTTCTCTGATATATGTATGTATGGTCTGTGTGTGTGAATAATGTTGGTTTGAACGTCAGACGAAGTGTACCTATTTCTGGGTATGAAAAACCCACATTATACACAGCGATATACGATATATGTAAAGTGCTGAATGAAACTGTCATGTCAAAGTATCTAATATGTGTTTGTATGTTCTGTGGCTGCCAGGAGTAGAGACCACAGAGTTTGGTAAGGACTATGTGTTGTTCAATTTGTAGTCGGGGCATATGTTGGCCCTGTAGCTGCTGTTGTCATCAGACCATTGTATTTTGCACCTGTCTGTTTACTTAGTAATATCAACCAATCAAAAACAAGTAACTCACTGAACAAAGCTAGTAGCTCAACCAATCAGAGACGAGCTCAGTGATCAACTGCTAGAGATGAGTATCTCACTGATGTAACTTTCTGGAGAAAGATTATTGCATTTGTTGTCAAAATTGGACATGCATGTGCTATTTGGATGTAAATAATCCTGGAACCAATATGCATTTGTAGTCATGTTATTTTTCTTGAAACAATATTACCAAATTAGTTGACCTGTGAAGATCCGGGGTTAGAGTAGGTCTTCAACAACCTATGCTTGTCATAAGAGGCGACTTTGCTTGTCATAAGAGGAGACTAATAGGATTGGGTGGTCAGGCTCACTGACCTGGTTGATGCATGTCATCGTATCCCGGTTGGATAGAATAAGGCTCGCTGACTTGGTTGATGCATGTCATCATCATATCCCAATTGTGTAGATTGATGCTCATGATGTCAATCACTAGCCTGTCTGGTCCAGACTATTGCTGAGTGTGGCGCTAAACAATAAACAAAAATAATGGAAAAAAACAAATGAGTTAGTGTCATAATACCTTGACACTTGAATACCCTATCATCCATCGAACTTGTAAATGTTTTAACATTGAGTATGCTTCAAGGACGTGTGCATGCTGCACCTTGCGTGATCTGTGTATACCTTTGTCAAACAGGGGTTTCTCCCACATTGCACACTGACTTGTCATTTAGTAATTTATAAATTGTCACACATCTCACTCTGTTGCCTTGAAGGTCTGAAGAACAGGATAACAGTTCAGACTAATTCATTACTCATGTCTCATATTTACCAGCTTCACAGCTTCTGTGACCCCATTATGTTCAGTATGTGTTGATTGATAAGTTCTTAGCCTCACATAGAAGGAATTGCATAACAATGAAATCTCTTGCGGACATTACATGATGTCATAGAAGTATATCAACAAAAACTTCATTTGAGTAAATTGTTTGGCTATGACAAGTCAGTAAAGTAGGCAGAGGTATGTGACTTCTGGAAAATTGACTAACTTGAAGAATGTGCTGTGATCTAGTACTTGCACAAACAAAGCTTAACACCAAAAGCCATTCATGAAGATATGAGGACAAGACAAGGGAAGGATGACCCTTCCTTTGCAAGCTGGGCGGTCGGGTGGCCAAGTGGATAAAGCGTTTGCTCGTCACGCCGAAGACCCGGGTTCGATTACCGACATGGGTACAATGTGAGAAGCCCATTTCTGGTGCCCCCCGCCGTGATATTGCTGGAATATTGCTAAAAGCGGCGTAAAACCATACTCACTCACTCACTCACTCACTCACTCACTCACTCACTCACTCACTCACTCACTCACTCACTCACTCACGCACCCACCCACCCACTCACGCACCCACCCACCCACTCACTCACTCACTCACTCACTCACTCACTCACTCCTTTGCAAGCTCAAAGAGTTGGCAGCAGGGTTTATGAATGACAGAGTCTTGAAGACAACCCTGAGCAGACATCCCTTTGATATGGTGATGTCTGACCGGCGAATGATGGAGTGTCATAGTGCTTGTTCAGTAGGCAGTTCCCAGGAGAGAGTACATTCCACTATCACAGAAACTTTGGCAATGAAAAAAGTATCAGCTCATTGGGTTGCAAAGCTTCTGACATCGCATAAAAAGTGCACCAGGCACATGTCTCGTGATAATCTAGCTGTTTGAAGCTGATGCGCAAAGGTTCTTGCAACCATTTGTGACTATGGATGAAACCTTGGTTCACCACTTCCAGCCAAACAAGGCTGTTGTCTTCAAAGCTCTCCCTGTCCTGCTTAAACTCTGCTGCCCTCCTCTTCAGAATAGTATAGGAAGGAGCATCCTTCCCAGCGTTGTACTTGTATCTTCGTGAATGGCTTCTTTTTCCCGAATGTTGACCACACAATAAATTAAGGCTTGTCTGAGGTTACTGCTGGGGATTGGTATTGAACAAATCAAGTGCATATCAGTTTTTAATTAAGTAAGTTGGAGACGTGGTATATTATGAATAAGGGACATTTAGCTAAGGCTTCTGTTTTGGCATGTAGTACAAAATCTTTTCTGGTTCAGTCAGTCTTTATACAATTTAGATATTCGTGAAACAAAAGAATACTTTATCATTAGAAGGCCGACATATCTAATGGTTTCTGTGGCTTTGACAAACCCTCACAAGGTGTCAATATTTTGTTTCTCTTATTTCAGGCCGAACACAAAGGATGATCTGCGGGCCTATCTTATCCTGATTCATGTAAGTGTTGTGACCCTGTGGGTATTCCCTATCAGAATCAGTCCTTATTACCACATGCCTGTAGACCTGTGAAGATCCGGGTTAGAATAGGTATCAGCAACCAATGCTTGCCGTAAAAGGCGATTATGTTTCTCGTAAGAGGCGACTAAAGGGATCAGGTGATCAGGCTTGCTGACTTGGTTGATGCATGTCATCGTATCCCAATTGCGTGGATCGATGCTCATGATGTCAATCACTGGATTGTCTGGTCTAGACTTGATAATTTACAAACCACCATCATATAGCTGGAATACTGCTGAGTGCGGCGTTAGACAACAAACAAACAAATAAACCTTGGGGATTCTGGGTTAGAATTGGTCCCCAGCAACCTATGCTGGTTGTAAGAGGCGACCAGATGGATCTGGTGGTCAGGCTCAGTGATTTGGTTGATAGCATGTCATCCTATCCCGACAGTGTAGATTGTTGTTCACAATATCGATCACTGGATTGTCTGGACCAGATTATTTACAGGCTGCCTTCATATTGCTGAAATATTGGTGAGTGAGGCGCTAAACAACAAACAAGCAAACAAACATACCTTTCACAGGTACCAACTAAAATGGGATCTAGTGGTCAAGCTTTGCGACTTTAATTGTATCTAGGGCTGGGACGAGACCAAATTTACTACCCAGCTACCCGACTACCTATTACCCGACCTTACCCGGACACCAACTGTAGGTCTCAAGAGTGGGGTACAAAATGTCTGATTTGGAATTGTTTTTAACATACCCCTGGAAAAAAGTTTTCAGACATACACTGCATACACTGAAGTTGACTGGAGCTGTATCTTTACTCAAAACATATAAGACTCCGAAGGAATGTGCATATAGTCAGAAAGATTCGGAACGATTTGTTGTGGAGTTATTGTTGTGATTTTTTCTCATTAAACAATTTATCATGTGACTAACCACTGGTCTGGGTAGTCCTGTGGGTACTCGGGTCCTACTCAGTACCCACCCGACCCAAGTACCTGAGCTACCTGTCCCAGCCCTAATTGTATCCATATAATGTGGATTGTTGCTCATGCTCTCAGTCACTGGTTTATGGTCATGGAGTCACAATGTTGCTCAGTCACCATGGTGATCAACTTTCTGTATACCTTGTTTTATGAACTGACGTGAATGTTTATGCCCAAAATATTTTTTATTGAAACTGTTTTTGTGTGTGGCAGAATCCACAGTTCAGCAATCTGACAACCTATGTGATATTTGCACACCTGCTGCGTCAGATAGCGGCATTGTCCGACCACGACCATCACTTTCTGGTGCACTGGCTCCGCAGGTAAGTTGACAATAAGTTTGAAACAATGAAAACCATGAGGGAAAACAGAAGATGACAAAAAGTGACACATAGTTTGGGCTAAAAGAAAATAATAGTCTTGGTTCTCAGGCACCCCTCGCATCATCATAAAGTCTGCAGCACATTTTGTTTTCGTTTCCATTTTTAAAAACCCCCAAAACATCCAAATACTTAAAAACAATATGGCATACAGCTCCTTCCCTTTACATGTGCACTGCTTTACTGCGCATCTTGTGTTATGGTCATGGCGGCAATAGGAGTTTGTATGCTTGTGTATGTAGGGAGGAATTTCCCAGGTTGATAGTATACAACTGTTTATTTGGTTACATACTAGTTTGAACAAGCAAAAAAAACACAAAATATTGTGCCATTGATTGCTGATAGGTGCCAATAGGTGCCAGTTGCTGATTGTAGTGCCATTGGTTGATGAAGTTAACAGCAGTTCACATGCCTTGACAGTAGGTGACATTAGTTGACGCAAGTTGGTTGGAAGTGTTTGCTTGTCCCTTGACTCTTCCACCTCTTTGTTGTACCGTGAAGATTCCGGGATAGAATAGGTCTTCAGCAACCCATGCTTGCCGTAAAAGGCGACTATGCTTGTCGTAAAAGGCGACTAACGGGATCGGGTGGTCGATCCAAGTTGCGTGGATCAATGCTCATGATATTAATAACTGGATTGTCTGGTCCAGATTATTTACAGACCACCGTCATAAAGCTGGAATATTGCTGAGTGCGGCGTTAAACAACAAACCAACCAACCAACCAACCAACCAACCAACCAACCACCTTTTTGTGTTCTTTCCAGAATTCCTTCGGATCAGTTCAAGTCGATAGTCGGTCGTCTTCATAACTTCATCTCCTGTCGCCTGTTTCCACCAAAGCCACAAGACTTACCTCCCCTGTCCAAATGCACATGGTGGATACCGAGTGCTACAAAAGTCATGGCTTTATTCAGTGAGTTACACTTGCAGTATACTAAAGATTACTCTCGACAAAGAAGGGGTCGGGTCCGAGGGTCCTTTCTTTCGCATGTTGACCTCGTCAATAGTATTCTTTCATTTTTTTGTGCCAAAACTCACTTTGAGGTTGATGAAGCCTTTAAACTGTCCTCTGTTTCATTACAGTAACCTGCTACAGTAATATGTTACTACCAGACGCCATTTTGTTTTCTAGCAGACTAAAGTCAATATTCATCCCATGACAGGTCAATACTGATCATGTGACGAGTCAATATTCGAGGTCAGTGAAATCAATTGTTTCGTCACATGGAAATAGCAAGATTCTTAACATCCTTAATAGAGGTATAATGAAAACTATATTCACCTGATGCAGGAGCAACAAAGAACCTGAAACTTCTTTACAAAGACTTGTAAACGTTTACTGTCTTCAGATGCTGCCAACAACCTGTCGCTGCCATCCATTGTGCCGTACTCGGACTTCTACAACAGCTCCCTAGACCACCTGGACTTGATGGCGGAGTACTACGCCTGGCAGAACCCCAGCTCACATGCAGGGTACGTCCAGCCGCACTGTCTGCTTTCATGTAGCATCTACAGGCCTTCCACTTGCTTTCCTCATCTGACTTCTCAAATAAGACTTTATGGAGTTTGTTTGTTTTTTGTTTAACACCGCACTTGGAAATACTCCACCTGTATGACAGCGGTCTGTAAATAATTGTGTCTGGACCACACAATCCAATAATTGCCATCATGAGTATCCATCTTTGCAATTGGAATACGATGACATGGGTCAACCAAGTCAGTGAGCCTGACAACCCGATCCTGTTAGTCGCTTCTTATGACAAGATTTATTCTTACCCTGATCTTCATGGGATAGACAAGCATAGGTTACTGAAGATTTATTCTCACCCGGATCTTCACAGGGTAGACAAGCATAGGTTACTGAAGATTTATTCTTACCCGGATCTTCACGGGGTAGACAAGCATAGGTTACTGAAGAGTTGTTCTCAACCGGAACTTCACGGGTTACTTTATGGAGACTTTATTTATTGATTCCCATTCATAATGACAAAATTCGTCCAATTGTCTGTCTGTCAGCACTGCACTACAGATATTAACAATGCATAGAGATTATGGCGAAACCGCATTATCGGTGGTTCGAGAAGGGAGCTAACTCCGTTTGCCTAATCGAAAGTTCGAGGTGGGCCCACATTCGAAACTAAACGCACTTGTTGTTGAGAATATATACTACGTAAACAAACCCGCATAACGAACTCATAATTTGTCTATTTAAAATAAGTATTATGACTTATAATTGGATTAAAATGTACAAATAAGATGGCAATACAGCAGAACTCACTTCTACGAACATCGCCAAACTAGGTCGTTGGGTCATTAATATTCATGAGTTATTCCTTTTATGGAACAAGTTCTCGGAAACGTCTGAGGCTTGTATCATGTCAGAGATCAATTCAAGTGTAGACATATGTTCTGGCTTATATCGCCACCAACAATTATGATTAGATTGATGTGTTATATTGAAAAAAGTAGAATGAGTGGTATTGCCTCTGTAAATTTAATTTGAAGTAGATTTAAGTTTCTTGCTTGGTAGCTATTATTGTAAAACTAGTGTGGTTAGCTATGATGCAGTTATTCAAACTTCAAAGACTTTTGTGCCTTTTATGGAATTAATGTCACACGAAATGATTTATAAAGATATTTCCCATCAATATTACAAAATATGAATAATATAAAAGGTCACATAATGACAAACGTGAGCCCAATAGCCTAAATGACTTCGTCAACCTAATGAAACCCAGAGATTTAAAAATGTGGGCCCACCTGTTTTCGATCACTATAAGACGGGAACAATGTGGGCCCACATTTTAGAAAATGGTTATAAGTAAGCCAAGCTAATGAAGCTAGCGATTTTTTAATGTGGTCCCTCCTTTTGCAATCACTATGACGGAAGAACGTCTACCCACTAGGCGATATACAAATGTGGGCCCACTTGTTTCGATCACCATATATGACGGGAACAATGTGGGCCCACATTTGAGAAAATGATTATCAATATTTAAGTAGAATTTCGCGATTAATAAATGTGGTCCCTCCTGTTGCAATCAATATGACGGAAGAACGTCTGCCAACATTTAGGGATTGATTATCAGAACTAACGAAACAACCTAACGAAGCTAGGCGAAATACAAATGTGGGCCCACTTGTTTCGATCACCATAGATGACGGGAAAAATGTGGGCCCACATGTTAGAAAATGGTTATCACCACTAAACCAATCTTAGAAGATGTACTGATGGAAACATAAATATATAATGCATTCAAACATTTAATTACCTTACGTTTTACCTTAGGGATAAGCTGGGCATTTGATAGCTGGACCAACAACGTGCAGCGTGGGTGACGCCATTTCTCGCAAATACGAAAACAACGGAGATAGCTCCCGTTTGAAATTAGAGTGACCTCCCTTTCCCAATATGAACCACTGATAATGCGGTTTTGCCGAGATTATTATACAAGCATGTGTGTCATACTGATTTTGAGAAATGAGTGTCAGAATGAGTTTATTTCCAGAGGAGGAGTGAGGGTAATGCATGAATTCTTACACAAGTTTTGTAGAATCAGTGTGACACACATGCTCTTTTTGAGCCCTCCTTTTGAAAAATGCCCTAATACCCTAAGGGTAATGATATCTGCATGTTCTCAATATTTTTGACAACAGCAAGGTAGTGTTTCATTTTGTTAATTCAAAATGGCCACCAAGGGAACTAATAACAGTTTGAAGTACAGCATCTTTTAAACTCCCCTCCCCTTTTACCCTATGACAGATTGTTACAAACAAATTTGAAGATATCTACATGATCCTGCTACTGCTCTACAAGAAATTGGAGCTTTCAGGTGAAATATTCAAATATAGATGCCATCAGAAATTAATCCAATTTGAGAAATTGAGAAAATATTTCAAATGGGTTCTTTGCCTAGTGGTTTAAGATAATGGAAAGGTGAGCACCAGTACCTCTGGTATTGTTTTATGTTAAACAGGAAAAAATATAATTTTGAGTTTCTTTGCTGGTTTGACACTGTGCTGGAGAACCGAAGTGTTTCTAAGTGTCACCTACTGGAGTAGATGAGATTGTCACGTTGTAGAATGTTACACATATCCTTCAGCTATTCTTCACCAGCTTGTGCTTTGTTTGCCTGGTTCAGCATTCATTTGAGTATGTTATACTTCAGTATGTCTTGTTATTGGTTACTGAATTTACATAGTTTCCAAATACAGTCAACATGGGAACTATAACATCAATGGAGCCATCGTTACCGTCAATATTACAGTCTATGCTTCTTGGTCTGATGCACATTTGCCGTTACGGTTAAGACGCTAATGTACTGGTACTTGAAATAAGAATAAAAATGATTTTGTTAATGCATTTCTCTCTAAAGTGATCCTTTTTATAAAAGCAAAAATTATTATCAAAAGGTTACATTTTTTATGTTTTATTTCATGACTTAAATAAGTTGACAAACCTTGTAAAACAAAGAAGTCTCCTTTAAATTTTGTCCATATATGTGGAAGTATGATGGTAAATTAGTAAATCAAGTAATTAAAAAGCCTAAAGAAGTGCACTGTGTTAAATTGGATCATTTATTGTTGATTGAATTATATCATACAGTTTGAATGTGCTGATGAATTCTTAAAATTAAAAACTCGGGTTCAATTTTCTTAAAATGTTTTTATTTTAGCCCCAACCATTATATACAACTCCAAACAAAAAGAGTGCCTGTTAAAGGGCACCTGTCATGGCATGATCGATTAACTATAGTAACAGTAAAGAAGCAGGTGTTTTTTATATCCTATTGAGTACATATTGTGTAGCCATATCAGTGTCCAGATAGGTAGCATTGTCAGATTGTCCCATACACTTTGTTAGTTCCTAAGTTGACTGTAGGTCTAGCCAGTTTCATAGTAAATTTTAAGCTTATTTTACAATATTTGACTTTGTTTGACTTTAAGTAATTTGAGAACACTATTTTTGCTTTTCCCCTGCTCACCCTGCTAGGTGTTTGTACATTATGGGCATGGCTCAGTACATGAACACAAAGCTTGTCCCTGGGGGTGAGGAGGAGGGGGTCCCCAGCGAACTGCGCCAGCTCAGGTCGGTAGCCTCCTATCCTCTGTCTCCCCTTCTGACAAAGTCTGTGTCACTATTTGGCAGTCATTTTTTTGTTCATTTTTTCATGTTTTTTTTTTTTCACTAGGTACTGTAATAGGTTTTTTGTCTTAGTTTGGTCTTCAGAGTCAGTATATCTCTCCTGGACCTCATTCTGCCTGCAGAAGCAGCTGCTATGCTCTCCTCCTTCGATCTGTCCTTCCCCTTCCACATGTCCAACTACCTCCATCAGCTGTATCTCCCACCATCAGGCCTACCCCCTGTATCAGCCCTACCCCCCTGCATCAGCTATACCCCCCTCCGTTAGCCCTACCCCCTTCCATCAGCCCTACCCCCTCCATCAGCCCTACCCCCTCCATCCGCCCTACCCCCTCTATCAGCCCTACCCCCTCCATCAGCCCTACACACTCCATCCGCCCTACCCCCTCTATCAGCCCTACCCACACCATCAGCCCTACCCCTCCATCAGCCCTACCCCCTCCATCAGCCCTACACACTCCATCAGCCCTACCGCCTCCATCAGCCCTACACACTCCATCAGCCTTACCCCTCCATCAGCCCTACCTCCCTCCATCAGCCCTACCTCCCTCCATCAGCCCTACCTCCCTCCATCAGCCCTACCTCCCTCCATCAGCCCTACCCCCTCCATCAGCCCTACCCCCTCCATCAGCCCTACCTCCTTCCATCAGCCCTACCCCCTCTATCAGCCCTACCCACTCCATCAGCCCTACCCACTCCATCAGCCCTACCCACTCCATCAGCCCTACCCCCTCTATCAGCCCTACCCCCTCCATCAGCCCTACCTCCCTCCATCAGCCCTACCCCCTCTATCAGCCCTACCCACTCCATCAGCCCTACCCACTCCATCAGCCCTACCCACTCCATCAGCCCTACCCCCTCTATCAGCCCTACCCCCTCCATCAGCCCTACCTCCCTCCATCAGCCCTACCCCCTCTATCAGCCCTACCCACTCCATCAGCCCTACCCACTCCATCAGCCTTACCCCTCCATCAGCCCTACCCCTCCATCAGCCCTACCTCCCTCCATCAACCCTACCCCTCCATCAGCCCTACCTCCTCCATCAGCCCTACCCCTCCATCAGCCCTACCTCCCTCCATCAACCCTACCCCTCCATCAGCCCTACCCCTCCATCAGCCCTACCCCTCCATCAGCCCTACCTCCTCCATCAACCCTACCCCTCCATCAGCCCTACCCCTCCATCAGCCCTACCCCTCCATCAGCCCTACCTCCCTCCATCAGCCCTACCTCCCTCCATCAGCCCTACCCCTCCATCAGCCCTACCTCCCTCCATCAGCCCTACCTCCTCCATCAGCCCTATCCCTCCATCAGCCCTACCCCTCCATCAGCCCTACCCCTCCATCAGCCCTACCTCCCTCCATCAGCCCTACCTCCCCCCATCAGGCCTACCCCCTCCATCAGCCCTACCTCCCTCCATCAGCCCTACCCCCCTGCATCAGCCCTACCCACTCCATCAGCCCTACCTCCTCCATCAGCCCTACCTCCCTCCATCAGCCCTACCCCCCTGCATCAGCCCTACCTCCCTCCATCAGCCCTACCCCCTTCCATCAGCCCTAACCCCTCCATCAGCCCTACCCCCTGCATCAGCCCTACCCCCTCCATCAGCCCTACCTCCCTCCATCAGCCCTACCCCCCTGCATCAGCCCTACCCACTCCATCAGCCCTACCTCCTTCCATCAGCTTTATAGTGGGCCGTCTCTCAGTGTTCTCTGGCACGCTTGTCACTGTAACTAATGGTGTTCCTAACTTCCTATATATATTCATTAAGTAAATGCATCCTCTGATACTTAAAAGCTCATAATATTCATATTTGACAAACAAAAATATAAAAATAGTAATTTCTGTACTGTAAATATTTAGTGTGACACATACTCATATAAATAAATATTTTTATGTTCATATAACAACATGATTAATAAAATCATTCACATAATCAAATGAAACTTCTTCTTTTTTCCCATCAATAAACGTTTGAAGTGGCAGATATTTTCCCAGTGATTGTTCATTATATGCACAATATCTTTGAAGTACAACCCAATTTATCTTTGACTATATTAAGATACATCAATAAATTAGTACATATGCTCATGATATCAGTATCATTTGGGACCGGACATTTATTAGGGGAGGGGGTGGGGGAAACAGGGGAGGGTCACCCAATATGACAGTCTGTAGTGGAGGGTCATAAAAAATAGTACACATATTCAGGGATGTCATGGAAAAATGGACAGACTGTTGCAAGGTATATAGTGCCTTTGCATTTTGTCTTTTCAGGGAGGGTCATGACAAAAATGTACAAGGACATGGGGAGGGTCATCCAAAAATATGACCCACTCACCCCTGTAATAAATGACCGGTCCGTTCCCATCCATTAAGACTTCAGTTATGCAGATTGATAAATTTCCAATGAAACAAACCGTAATGATGTCTCTTCAATACGGTAGATGTACCAGTGTACACTTTCTTTCTTTGACAGGCCAGTGAAGCCAACTTGTAGCTGTTTTCAGGCAGTAAATCTCAGAGTTTCCAGCATGGGCGATATTGATGGTGTCAATAACCTTATTGTGTAGATACTCTGGTCAATGTCATATGTTTTCCAATGTTGCAGGTTTTCGTTCTGCCAGTATCCTTTCATCCTGAGCATTGCAGCAAAACGAACAATCCTGCAGAAGGACTCGGAGCAGCAGATGATTATCATGGCCAGGGTAGGTGCAGAGATGTGATAGGAGGGAGGGGTAGGTGCAGAGATGTGATAGGAGGGAGAGGTAGGTGTAGAGTGTGATAGGAGGGAGGGGTAGGTGTAGAGATGTGATAGGAGGGAGAGGTAGGTGTAGAGTTGTGATAGGAGGGAGGGGTAGGTGTAGAGTGTGATAGGAGGGAGAGGTAGGTGTAGAGATGTGATAGGAGGGAGAGGTAGGTGTAGAGTTGTGATAGGAGGGAGGGGTAGGTGTAGAGTGTGATAGGAGGGAGAGGTAGGTGTAGAGTGTGATAGGAGGGAGGGGTAGGTGCAGAGATGTGATAGGAGGGAGAGGTAGGTGTAGAGATGTGATAGGAGGGAGGGGTAGGTGTAGAGATGTAATAGGAGGGAGGGGTAGGTGTAGAGTGTGATAGGAGGGAGGGGTAGGTGCAGAGATGTGATAGGAGGGAGAGGTAGGTGTAGAGATGTGATAGGAGGGAGGGGTAGGTGCAGAGATGTGATAGGAGGGAGGGGTAGGTGTAGAGTTGTGATAGGAGGGAGGGGTAGGTGTAGAGTGTGATAGGAGGGAGAGGTAGGTGTAGAGATGTGATAGGAGGGAGGGGTAGGTGTAGAGATGTGATAGGAGGGAGGGGTAGGTGCAGAGATGTGATAGGAGGGAGGGGTAGGTGCAGAGATGTGATAGGAGGGAGAGGTAGGTGTAGAGTTGTGATAGGAGGGAGGGGTAGGTGTAGAGTGTGATAGGAGGGAGAGGTAGGTGTAGAGATGTGATAGGAGGGAGGGGTAGGTGCAGAGATGTGATAGGAGGGAGGGGTAGGTGTAGAGATGTGATAGGAGGGAGGGGTAGGTGTAGAGTGTGATAGGAGGGAGGGGTAGGTGTAGAGATGTGATAGGAGGGAGGGGTAGGTGCAGAGATGTGATAGGAGGGAGGGGTAGGTGTAGAGATGTGATAGGAGGGAGGGGTAGGGGTAGAGATGTGATAGGAGGGAGGGGTAGGTGTAGAGTGTGATAGGAGGGAGGGGTAGGTGTAGAGATGTGATAGGAGGGAGGGGTAGGTGTAGAGATGTGATAGGAGGGAGGGGTAGGTGTAGAGATGTGATAGGAGGGAGGGGTAGGTGTAGAGATGTGATAGGAGGGAGGGGTAGGTGCAGAGATGTGATAGGAGGGAGGGGTAGGTGTAGAGATGTGATAGGAGGGAGGGGTAGGTGCAGAGATGTGATAGGAGGGAGGGGTAGGTGTAGAGATGTGATAGGAGGGAGGGGTAGGTGTAGAGTGTGATAGGAGGGAGGGGTAGGTGTAGAGATGTGATAGGAGGGAGGGGTAGGTGTAGAGATGTGATAGGAGGGAGGGGTAGGTGTAGAGATGTGATAGGAGGGAGGGGTAGGTGTAGAGATGTGATAGGAGGGAGGGGTAGGTGCAGAGATGTGATAGGAGGGAGAGGTAGGTGTAGAGTTGTGATAGGAGGGAGGGGTAGGTGTAGAGTGTGATAGGAGGGAGAGGTAGGTGTAGAGATGTGATAGGAGGGAGGGGTAGGTGTAGAGTGTGATAGGAGGGAGGGGTAGGTGCAGAGATGTGATAGGAGGGAGAGGTAGGTGTAGAGATGTGATAGGAGGGAGAGGTAGGTGTAGAGATGTGATAGGAGGGAGGGGTAGGTGCAGAGATGTGATAGGAGGGAGAGGTAGGTGTAGAGATGTGATAGGAGGGAGAGGTAGGTGTAGAGATGTGATAGGAGGGAGGGGTAGGTGCAGAGATGTGATAGGAGGGAGGGGTAGGTGTAGAGATGTGATAGGAGGGAGGGGTAGGTGTAGAGATGTGATAGGAGGGAGAGGTAGGTGTAGAGATGTGATAGGAGGGAGGGGTAGGTGCAGAGATGTGATAGGAGGGAGGGGTAGGTGTAGAGATGTGATAGGAGGGAGGGGTAGGTGTAGAGTTGTGATAGGAGGGAGAGGTAGGTGTAGAGATGTGATAGGAGGGAGGGGTAGGTGCAGAGATGTGATAGGAGGGAGGGGTAGGTGTAGAGATGTGATAGGAGGGAGGGGTAGGTGTAGAGTGTGATAGGAGGGAGGGGTAGGTGTAGAGTTGTGATAGGAGGGAGGGGTAGGTGTAGAGATGTGATAGGAGGGAGGGGTAGGGGTAGAGATGTGATAGGAGGGAGGGGTAGGTGTAGAGTGTGATAGGAGGGAGGGGTAGGTGTAGAGATGTGATAGGAGGGAGGGGTAGGTGTAGAGATGTGATAGGAGGGAGGGGTAGGTGTAGAGATGTGATAGGAGGGAGGGGTAGGTGTAGAGATGTGATAGGAGGGAGAGGTAGGTGTAGAGATGTGATAGGAGGGAGGGGTAGGTGTAGAGATGTGATAGGAGGGAGGGGTAGGTGTAGAGATGTGATAGGAGGGAGGGGTAGGTGTAGAGATGTGATAGGAGGGAGGGGTAGGTGTAGAGATGTGATAGGAGGGAGGGGTAGGTGCAGAGATGTGATAGGAGGGAGGGGTAGGTGTAGAGATGTGATAGGAGGGAGGGGTAGGTGTAGAGATGTGATAGGAGGGAGGGGTAGGTGTAGAGATGTGATAGGAGGGAGGGGTAGGTGCAGAGATGTGATAGGAGGGAGGGGTAGGTGTAGAGATGTGATAGGAGGGAGGGGTAGGTGTAGAGATGTGATAGGAGGGAGGGGTAGGTGTAGAGATGTGATAGGAGGGAGGGGTAGGTGTAGAGATGTGATAGGAGGGAGGGGTAGGTGTAGAGATGTGATAGGAGGGAGGGGTAGGTGTAGAGTGTGATAGGAGGGAGGGGTAGGTGTAGAGTGTTATAGAAGGGAGGGGTAAGATGGTAGACACTGTAGTGATCAAAATGGGTGTGGCCGCATCACATATTAAAGAATATTAATAATCTGCATTCTCCTTACAGAAAAGTTTGGTGGCCAAAGTGCAGCGTCGACAACTGCCTGACATTGGGATGTTGTTTCTGAACCTGACGGTGCGGAGGTCTCACCTGGTGTCTGACTCTCTCAACGAGGTAAGACAGAGCACCTGGCCAGGTGAGAATCAGAATGACACCCTTTTTTCTGTCGACCTGTGTCAGTCCTCCCCTCGTTGTGTTTTGTTCACTTCGATAATTTGGAAATATGCACTCCACTCCCTTTTTAAAAATCCTGGCTCTGCTTCAGAGCACGATCTGAAGTCATAATGGCCCATCCCTGTAGGATGATCCAGTTCTGTGGCCGAAGCTCCGATCGTGTAATACCGTCTGACATGTTCCAGATTGCCAGGAAGCATCATGACCTCAAGAAGAAGCTGAAGGTGACCTTCGCCGGGGAGCCAGGCCTGGACATGGGGGGTCTGACCAAGGAGTGGTTCCTGCTGCTAATCAGACAGATATTCCAGCCTGAGTATGGTAGGTGGGGTCAGGGTGGGTGGATTTAGTGTGGTGTCAGGGTGGGTGGGGTCATGATGGGTGGGGTCAGGGTGAGTTACGGGGTCAGGGTGAGTGGAATGACAGTTGGTGGAGTCTACGTGGGTGGGGTAGGGGTCTATGTGGGTGGAGTCATAGTGGATAAAGTCTATGTGGGTGGAGTCAGGGTGGGTGGAGTCAAAGTGGGTGGAGTCGGGGGGTTGGGGTCAGGGTGGGTGGGAGGGTTGAGCCAAGGGAGGGGGGTCAGGGTGGGTTGAATCACCATTGGTGATGCAGCCTTCAAATGGGCTGTTTCAATCAGAGCCGGTCTATTGTGGTTTGATACCTCTGATTGACCAATTGCAATCAAGTATTTTCAAAATTCATGATAGAATTAGGTTTGAATCACATAAGAAAAATATACTTAATGCTATAAACCGTTTCTATGTCAGATTTTACTTGATTTCAAATGTCATGGCCTGATTAAGCTATAGAACTGCTAACAGTAGCATAAAATAAGCATTCACTGACTATCACAGATCATTGGCAAGTGAGTGAGTGTTGTTAAGAACCTCAGTCAGCAATATTCCAGAGATATTATCTCCTGTAAGTAGTCAAAAACAAAGTTATGAACAATGATCACCATCAAGATATGATGACACGTAATCAACGGTGTCGTCGACCTCCGAATCCACATTTTGGTCTGCTCTTATGACAAGCATGAGGTATGTCAGGGTTGATTTATCTTAAAAGTATGTTAATGTTGTGTGGAGATCTAATGTATCCCTGTATCAAAGGTGTATCAACCAGTATTGGTGTCAGTCGGTGTGACTACTGATGTTGTTTTCCAGGGATGTTCAACTACGACAAGATGGCGGGTTGCTACTGGTTCAGTGCCATGCCCTGTGAGAACTACCAGGAGTTTAACCTTGTAGGAGTTGTATCCTTACACACAGTCGTCATGGAGATCCTTACACACATACAGTTGTCATGGAGATCGATACACACATACAGTTGTCATGGAGATCCATACACACATACAGTCGTCATGGAGATCCATACACACATACAGTTGTCATGGAGATCCTAACACACATACAGTTGTCGTGGAGATCCTTACACACAGTTGTCGTGGAGATCCTTACACACAGTTGTCATGGAGATCCATACACACATGCAGTTTTCATGGAGATCCATACACACATACAGTTGTCGTGGAGATCCATACACACATACAGTTGTCATGGAGATCCATACACACATACAGTTGTCATGGAGATCCATACACACATACAGTCGTCATGGAAATCCATACACACAGTTGTCATGGAGATCCATACACACATGCAGTTTTCATGGAGATCCATACACACATACAGTTGTCATGGAGATCCTTACACATATACAGGGGTCATGGAGATCCTTAGACACATACAGTTGTCATGGAGATCCTTACACATATACAGTTGTCATGTAGATCCTAACACATACAGTTGTCATGGAGATCCTTACACACATACAGTTGTCATGGAGATCCTTGCACATATACAGTTGTCATGGAGATCCTTACACACATACAGTTGTCATGGAGATCCTTACATACAGTTGTCATGAAGATCCTTACACATATACAGTGGTCATGGAGATCCTTACACATATACAGTTGTCATGGAGATCCTAACACACATACAGTTGTCATGGAGATCCTAACACACATACAGTTGTCGTGGAGATCCTTACATACAGTTGTCATGAAGATCCTTACACATATACAGTGGTCATGGAGATCCTTACACATATACAGTTGTCATGGAGATCCTTACATACAGTTGCCAAAGATCCTTACACAAATACAGTTGTCATGAAGATCCTAACACACATACAGTTGTCATGGAGATCCTCTCACAGTTATTATAGAGATCCTTCCACACATACATGTTTAAACTATACAGATTCAGGGTGTTGCAATTTTTCAGTATTATATCCCAACGTGACTATCAGCTAAAAATAGATTCATCAGAATTTATCAAGTGCCTACTTTGTCTTAATACATCTAGAGGTGACAAATATATAAATATAAGTCGCACCTTGAACGTTACATGGATAATGCTGAACGTAATGCTGTACCTACATCATGGTTTATAACTAGAAGTCTAAGAACATTGGTGTGAGTGTTGCTATTTTCCTGAGCGTGTGAAGCTGATGGGTCTGGCTGTGTACAACTCCATCAACCTGGACATCCGCTTCCCGCCCTGCTGCTACAAGAAGCTGCTCAGTCCCGCTGTAGTCCCCTTCTCCAATCCTCGTGCCACGGTTGGCGTCACCACAGTCACAGTTGATGACCTCATGCATGTCAAACCGGTAAGTACACATCACCAGAATGGAATGTTTTACAGAAAGACAATAAAAGAATTTAAGGCTCTTAATTGACAAAAAGAATCTGAAGCAACTTTGTTATGATCACACAAGTGTAATCTCATTATTTTAAGAATACTCATATAATTTTATGTTGTATAAATGGAATACATTTTATAGTGTGAATGAGTAAGAGTTGGGTTTAATGCAGTTTTGAACAGTATTTCAGTTGTAATGTGAGCTTAATGTGGGTGGAAAATCTGAAGTGATATGCAGATCTTCAAGTTAATAAAGGGGGCACGGGTGGCCCAGTCGTCTTAGGCGCCGCGATTCGCTGTGCAGAGTTGCGTCCCTTCGGCACGCCAGAAACCTATGATTGTAGGTTCAAATTTCGTTCGCCCCGATTATGTTTCTCGGTTTGTCAGCACCATCAAAGTTATTTACCGCTTTGATGACACCCTCAAGCAGGGGTATGGTCCTGACATAATCAAGGCAAGACTAGTATTCAAGACCACAATCATAGTTTTCCTTGCAGAAAATTGCAGCACCTTAGGCGACTGGTCACCTGTGCACCCTTTAGACACAGGCAAATGCTGAACATAACATCATATTACAATAGACTTTGAGAAGAGTTGATTTCTTGAGATATCAGAACTGGTGGGACAAAACATGAAATGGACTGTATGAATTCTAAAAAACAGGTTTTGTTGTGTCTTGTGTGCAGGAGGTGGCGAAAGGCTTGAAGGACTTGATGGAGTATGAGGAGGATGTGGAGGAGGATTTCTGTCTTACATTTGAGGTGAGCAGATGTGACTGGCAGCCATCTTGGTTTAACTTTTCAAAAATATATAAAATATGATACGGTCTCATCAGGAAGCTTCAAATCTTTTTGTTGTACCTGATGTTTGCTCCTTTCCCTAAAAATGACAATGATTTATTATAAACTGACCTGGGAATTATGATCATATATTGATCATAATATTTATGCTAAGAATATTGACAAAGGGAGGTGCTTATAAACCATCAGGGCTCGATTTAAGGCACTTGATTTAACCTGCCTCAGATGCATGTTGACATGAAAACCAAGTCGCACCAAACAAAACCAGGTTGCACCCTGGGTACCGTTGTTCAAACATCCTTAGCGCTACGACTGTCAGAAGTCTATGTTAAGGTATGGGAGTCACAATCACCTTAGCACTAAGATTACTTTGTACAACGTCACCCTGGTTCCATAAGTTTATCAAAGCTGATAAAGGTGGGTCCGCTGCCAGAGTCGTATAAATTAATGATGCATTACTGTAACAAGTGTCCACGGTTTCATGGTGTCATGCACAAGAAAGTGTGACTAACTACACATAACACAGGGATTTGTGATGTCATGTGGTAAATTTAGTTTAAAGGTATTGAGTGTGTCCAAAGATCAGTTTTATGTGGACAAGTAACGGTTAGTCAGACTTAAGTTTTTAAATGCACTTGCATGCATGTAGACATAAATGTTAGGTTGCATTTTTCAACAATAGGATGCATTGGTGCATGTTTTATATAGCTAAATCAACCCTGACCATGTACATTACAAGTTATATTTGTTGTGGGAGATCAAGTGGTACAAAACAAACTGGGTTAAATGTGAATGAAAATAACCCTTCTTGATAATAGTTACCCAGAAATTATATACCCTTCTGCATTTCTAACCCGTGAAGGTCCAGGGTAGAATAGGTCTTCAGCAACCCATGCTTGCCATAAAAGGCGACAATGCTTGTCGTAAGAGGTGGTCAGGCTCGTTGACTTGGTTGATGCATGTCATTGTATCCCATTTGTATGGATTGATGCTCATGATATCAATCACTGGATTGTCTGGTCCAGACAGCCATCATTTACAGTAAAGTACGGTTATAACGAACATGCTTATAATGAACTGACGGATATAACGAACTATTTTTTTGGTCCTGTCTATTGCTGTATATATTCCATACATTTGCTTATAGCGAACTACAGTTACAATCAATTAAAATTAGTGGTCCCTTTGAGTTCGTTATAACCGTAGTTTACTGTAACTGGAATATTGCTGAGCGCAGCGTTAAACAACAAACAAACAAACCAATAAAACATTCTACACTTCTCAGTACATTTTTGGCCTAGTGACAATTACTTATAGTTGATTGGACTATACATTGAAATTGACATGTAAAATCAAAAGTTATTCCTGAGGGATTCTTTGACGAAGAATCATACACGCATTCTGATTGGTTTGTCGTATTTTCGCACGTAACATTCATCGATAGGGGGGACGAGTCTTCTTGTAGGTTACGGAAAGGGGCGAGTGTAGTTTCTGGTGAGCCACTATTTTTTGTAGTCACATATCCAAATTTGGTCTGGTTGTGTGTGTGACAGGTGTCCAGCAGTGAGTATGGGTCAATGAAGACAGTGCTGCTGAAGCCCAATGGAGACAACATCGCAGTCACCAAGGAGAACAGGAAAGGTCAGTGTCGCTGTTAGCATCTGATGTCAGGCCTGTAGGAGCAGGCGCCCAGGTCCACTCATCCCACCAATTCTTTTTTATCAACAACGTTTAACAAAGAGAATTCTTCTCAACCCCTCCACCCATTGGCCAACATCTACATACATACAGATTACTTGGCAATATTCATCCCCAAGTCTGAAGCAAATGTTTGTTAAAATTTCCAAATTGGAATTTAGAATACATGATATTATATCATAGTTATAACTAACATACCGTATTCGATGTAATAAGCGTCGGGGCACTCTCAAAATTAGAAAAAAGGGGGCTCTTATTAGAATATAATTTTGGTGAGAGAAAAAACAGAGTTGAAAGATTGTAAATTTCGTAGTTTATGCTGACAGCCTGAAATTATACAAACGAAAAGTATGTGCGTATCATACACGACAGATATATTTTCCAGAATTTAATTGCGCATAATTAAGGGTGCATATAACACACGAGTGCGTGTTATACACGAAGAAATAAGTCTTGTGTTCATTGATCAGTTGGAAGGGGTGCTAATTGGGATTGTTCAGTAGCCAATATATTAGCAAATATCGCCGTTGGCACTTATCAGTGTGGGGCGCTTATTACGTTGAATACAGTTTGTGCTTTGTACAGATGACTTGTATTTCACTGATTACTGGCCAATGGTGAGCAGAGGACTTATTTCTTCGTTCTTCCTTATTTCATTGAATGCACCTCTGACCAATTTCTAAAATAGTTAACCTTTGTAAGATTTAACTGTTAAAATGTGTCTAAAAGTGTGAATGTGTATCTTATTTCTTGTCTGAATATATATGAATGTATTTAGTGTCTAAAGTACCAGAATATGTTTGAATATGAAATTTCCGACCAACATCTTGTATTCTACAGAGTATGTTCAGCTCTATGTGGAATTCATTCTCAACAAGTCAGTGTACCCACAATTCCAAGCATTCTACCATGGATTTCACAGTGTGTGTGCATCAAATGCACTAATTGTAAGTACGCCCTATCTGCACTCTGTCAAATATTATAGTGAGTTTACACGAAGGCGTGTTCAATAGGGCTGGAACGAGTCCAAATTTATTACTGGGGTACCCGACCCTACCCGGGTACCCACTGAAGGTCTCAAGAGTTTGGAACGAAATGTCTGATTGGGAATTGTTTTACCACAGCCCTGGCAAAAACTACTTAGATACATGTATCAAACGATCAGATCATGCGTACACGGAAGTTGACTGAAGCTTTATCTCTACTCACCCATATACAAGTCAAAGGAATGTGTTCATCGTCAGAAAGAAATGCAAACTTTAGCGTCTTGAAGTGTAACCACTGAGCTATAGTGAGTCGTTGTCATAAAACAATATATCAAGGGTCCGGGTAGTCCTAGATCCTATTCAAGAACCACCTGACCTGAGAACCCGAGTTACCAGTCCCAGCCCTAGTGTTCAAAAATACAAAAAAGAATTGTTTGCACCGTAACCTCACACACTGCTGTTGTAGATGTTGCGGCCTGAAGAGGTGGAAATGTTGGTGTGTGGCAGCCCGACCATCAACATCAATGACCTCAAGAAGGTGACAATGTATGAAGGTTACAGTCCTCAGGATCAGACAATTAGGTCAGTACTGTAACACTCTGAACAAACAATCAGGGTCCCCTTTCCTCAAAGCTGTCTCAGAGGCTGAACTATTTTACCTAACCAGAACCTTGCGATCGTGCTATTGTCAGGAGCTGACAATCAGGTCTGTGTACCAGCTCTGGACTCCTCAGGATCAGACAATCAGGTCTGAATACCCTCCCTGGACTCCTCAGGAGCTGACAATCAGGTCTGTATACCCTCTCTAGACTCCTCAGGAGCTGACAATCAGATCTGTATACCCTCCCTGGACTCCTCAGGAGCTGACAATCAGGTCTGTATACCCTCCATGGACTCCTCAGGAGCTGACAATCAGGTCTGTATGCCCTCTCTTGACTCCTCAGGAGCCAACAATCAGGTCTGTATACCCCCTCTTGACTCCTCAGGAGCCGACAATCAGGTCTGTATACCCTCCCTTGACTCCTCAGGAGCCGACAATCAGGTCTGTATACCCTCTCTAGACTCCTCAGGAGCTGACAATCAGGTCTGTATACCCTCCCTTGACTCCTCAGGAGCCGACAATCAGGTCTGTATACCCTCTCTGGACTCCTCAGGAGCTGACAATCAGGTCTGTGTCCCCTCTCTTGACTCCTCAGGAGCTGACAATCAGGTCTGTATACCCACTCTGGACTCCTCAGGAGCCGACAATCGGTCTGTATACCCTCTCTTGACTCCTCAGGAGCTGACAATCAGGTCTGTATACCCTCTCTTGACTCCTCAGGAGCTGACGATCAGGTCTGTATAGCCTCTATTGACTCCTCAGGAGCCGACAATCAGGTCTGTATACCCTCTCTTGACTCCTCAGGAGCTGACAATCAGGTCTGTATACCCTCCCTAGACTCCTCAGGAGCTGACAATCAGGCTACATTTACCTGTGTACACAGAGTACTTGGTAGCTTGAGGTGGATGTTTGCCATCCAGGTATGTGTTTGTTCACTGACTACAGTTGACTGTGTGTTGGCAGGTACTTCTGGGACATGGTGAATGGTATGCCCATGGAACTGCAGAAGAAGCTGCTGCTGTTTGCCACAGGAAGTGACCGGATTCCCATTGGTGGAACCCAGGAGATGCAGTTCAAGATCTCTAGGATCTCTGGAACTGATCTGTAAGTGCTGCTTATGTTGTGGCCTGTGTCCATCTGTACATTCATTGTTAACTTTGCCTTTTTTGAATCTCCTCTGAGACTGCAACGTCTTTGGAGATGAATCTTGTGTGAATGATCCCAGGCCTCTAAAAAATGTGCTCACAGAATTCTGATCCGTATTCCGGCAGCCATATTGAAAATGTTATTTTTGGATGTACCTTACCAATTTCTGCATGTATCATTATACAGCAAGTATTTGGTTTTATTGCACTGAATTAATTGGTTTCCATCATTAGTGTCTGATAAAGTCGATTGTCAGTTTAATGAGTCACCAGAGGGTAAGATAAACATGACTTGACTGTATACTGACACACAATGAAATCTCATAATCACCTTTAACACACATCAGACATGATGTGTTTTGTGCTCAAGCCTATATATCAAAATACATTGAATGAGATTAAAACCTGAGTGAGGACATTGGATGATCTCATTGTTGGGTGATCTCATGCCTAAAGGGGCGGTGGGGTAGCCTAGTGGTTAAAGCATTCGCTCGTCACGCTGAAGACCCGGGTTCGATTCTCGACATGGGTACAATGTGTGAAGCTCATATGTGTGCCCTCCGCTGTGATTTTGCTGGAATATTGCTAAAAGCGGTGTAAAACCATACTCACTCATTCACTCTCATGCCTAAATACACAGCTCTTACAAAAAATCACATATGTGTTTCCAAAGTGTGTCAGTATATTGACACCTCAAAATATTGAAGTTAGTTTAGAACCATAGACATACATCTTGTTTTTATTCCATTGCTACAATAGGTGTTTATTACGAAAAATCACATATGTGTTTTCAAAGTGTGTCAGTATACTTATGTATTCATCTTAATTCGCCACTGCCATGTGACCCGATCTGTGATCCTGACTGTAGCAGTACAGGAATGGCCTGACTAGGTCCAGTGTTGTCGTAGATACTTGTCCCATTCACCTCCTTGTGTCTGTTGCCAGACTGCCGATGGCTCACACCTGTTTTAACCAGTTGGTGCTGCCTCCTTACAAGTCCCGGAAGGTCCTCAAGCAGAAGCTGATTGCTGCCATTCAGAATGCTGAAGGATTTGGACTAGAATGATGTGACAGTGGTTTCATGGATCTGTGTGTGACCATCCAAAGGACTGCTTGTTTCAGTGGTGTTCTTCTGACCATCACAAGCAGGCTGGTGGACTCTTGTGAGACTGATATTTCTGTTGGTATCTCAATGCCTGTTGCAGTGCTGAAGATAATATGAGAAAATTGAATGTTTCACTATGGACATACTTAACGCTCCTGAAGGGCAGCTAGATGTACACTGAGCATTGATGTAATCAACACCTTGGACAGTCAACCATGCAGCTTTAGCAGTATACAACACCTGGGAGACTCCATTAGGATCTATACAACACCTGGGAGAGCCCACTAAGATGTATACAACAACCTGGGAGAGTCCACTATGATGTATACAACACCTGGGAGAGTCCACTATGATGTATACAACACCTGGGAGAGTCCACTATGATGTATACAACACCTGGGAGAGTCCACTATGATGTATACAACACCTGGGAGAGTCCACTATGATGTATACAACACCTGGGAGAGTCCACTATGATGTATACAACACCTGGGAGAGTCCACTATGATGTATACAACACATGGGAGAGTCCACTATGATGTATACAACAACCTGGGAGAGTCCATTAGGATGTATACAACACCTGGGAGAGTCCACTTGGATGTATACAACACCTGGGAGAGTCCACTATGATGTATACAACACCTTGGAGAGTCCATTAGGATGTATTTGGGCAAATCCAAAATGATGTATGAACTCCTGGGAGAGTCCACTATAATGAATACAACACCAGGGAGAGTTCATTATGATGTATTTGGACAAATCCACTATCATGTATACAACACCTGTAGTTGGGAGAGTCCACTATGATATATACAACATCTTAGAGGCCATAATGAATGTTACAAGACAGGAGAGTCCAATTTATGTATACTACACATTTATATATTTGGAAATGTAATTGGTGAGTGAGTATACTTTAAGTACAGATCACAACACTATACTCAAAAATAAAACTATTGTACAACCAGGACTACTAAATGCAAATTCTAGCATGAATTTGGAAATTACTCAATCAGAGTAATTGATTGGTCAATCAGAGGTTGTCAAATCACAATAAATCCCTTATGATTGATATAGCTGATTTGATGGCCGCGTCACCAAGGAAGCTAATATTAATAAAATACTACTTTTTTTCAGTCATTGTAGGTAGGCATATTTAAATAATTATAGCTACAGTTATAGGTAGGGGTGCCAACCTCATGTTAGCTTACCAACCAGCCATGCTTATATGTTTGAGTGAAATATTAAGGTGTAAACAAACTGCTTGAGCATATACAGTGCCATATTTTGTTCAATGGCTGTTGTCAGTGATACAGAAATTCAGATCGACAACCCACTCAAAACACTGGACTCAACCCATGCCGCTTCAGTCAATATATTTGCTAACATCAACGAGTTCGCATTTTATTTATCCATGGCAGAATGGGGATAAACATACTGTGTTTTCAATGTAGAGCTAGGTTACCTGTAGATTTAACTGCACTAAATTTAACATTTGAAACCTCAAGCTGCGCATCTGGTTCCAAATTCAATTTAACACAGTTAAATCTACAGATAACCAAGCTCTACATTGAAAACACGGTATGTTTACCTCCTTATTGCCATGTTTCCTATTTGCATTCAATTTCTGTTAATAATCACATATTCTCCCCTTCTTTTCCAAAAAGCTCGATGTATCTGAGCTTTCATGGGAACAACAGTATTGGATGCATGGCTGATAGTTATGGGGAACAGAGCATGGAATGCTTGTCCTGTTTATATCTAAATCTTGTGCCATAAATCTTCATTTTGGAATTGGAAATAATTGGATCCAATTACTGTCTGCATTAATCACTCGTCAATAGAAACGTATCTTGTCTGCTCCACTTTGAGAAGGTGATCTTAACCCTAAGGTTAAAGTCTATGATATTGGTTCTCATTGTCTTAGTGCTACGATCAGACTGTCAAATTCAGCTGGCAAATATATTTTTATGTGACTAATCATACATCATCAGCCTGCTCGTGGCTGGTAACATGTTTCGCGAGGCCGCTTGACATTTTACTCCACCTGCCCGATTGTCTGGCAGATCATTCTAGGACTGCGTACGTATTCAAGTTTTATTACAACTCCTTCTAGATTCTCAAGCAATTGTTTGCATTGTTTCAACTGAATTGAATCTGTCTCTTACTTTTTCCAATTTGACAATATTTATAATGTCTGAATGTGGGCAGGTAACTTTAAAGATGGGCAGGCAACACTTATGGCTCACCTGCTCGACTGTGTTGTTGGGTTTTAAAATCATTATTCAACCACTGGTCTCAGAAATGTTTTGTGTTTTTTAAAATATATATGGACTGTTGTTTTCTGTATTGTCAGTGACAAGATGTAATTGCAACTTGATGTTTTCACAGAAATAATACTTCAACACAGAGATTCATCTACTGACACAGTTTACTGTTATTTACAATTATTTTCACACAATTGTTTCCTCAATTTTGGCAGCATGTCCTAATATGTAGGCTACCCATAGTTATTGAGTCTATTGTCAGGCTTTATCCACTTGAACATATTCTTTATCAGAATCATCCAGTTTTGTTTCAGATTATGCCATCATGATTTGAGAAAGCAAACTTTTTAGGCAAATGTTTACAAGGTGTACAATAAACATAGGCAATATTTTTGAGCATGCAATCTGTCAATACTGTAGTCCAGAGTAAAGACATAACAATGTGTGATACTGGAAGCAGTTGTCCTGTAGTAGCATATGCCTGTGAGTGTTTGGCAGTACTGTATGGCAGTTGATATATTTTGTTTAAAAGTCAAGCAGTATTTGGATCAAAGAATACAAATGTTCATGACCTGTACATAAGGGAAAGTGATCTGTACATATTGTCATGTGATCTGACACTATGGTCATGTGACCTGTAGCTATTGTCATGTGATCAGTAAGTATGGTCATGTGACCTGACTGTGGTCATGTTGTCATGTGATCCATAGCAATGGTCATGTGACCAGTTAATTATCATGTGTCATATTAGGAATTATTGTTTTCGATGTCATGTTTGATGTAATCAGTCATAAGCAAGTAGTGACGGATTGTGATGGACTTCGATTTAAGACATATAAACTTCTGATTTATCAGTTTGAAATATCAAAGAAAGTGCAATAACAACTATATGTGGAAATGATAACTTTAAAAACAAATATTTGAATCATTCTCGGTACATAAAAAAGAATTTTTTTCGAGACTGCCTATTTTGTTGTGCCCACAAGTTATAGTCAGATTTAATGCAAAATGACTTTGCTGAACAAAAGCAATCTTTTGGAAAAATTAATGACAAAGACAACATAGGAGGCATAAAAAAGACATGAGCTAAGCTAAGTCTAACTGATACATGCAAAGCTAGCTTCAATTTTTTGGGCCAATTTCTAAATTTATTTACATGTTTCTTTCTTTTCTTTCTTTCATATTCAAGTTGCTGTGGAAATATATCCCTGAATCGAAGTCTATGAAGTCCGAAATTTTGGGTTAAGTGTAGAGCATCTTCATCTCACCTTTTAACTGTCATGGCTTACGCTACCAAAGATTTGTCATGTGGGTAATATCATGAAAGGCAGTCAGTCATCAGCTTCATTCGTCACCACTCGCCCCTCCCTGTAGCCTGCAAGAAGACTCGCTCCTCTATCGATGAAAATACGACAAACCAATCAGAATGCGCGTATGATTTCAAGTTCTTCGTCAAAGAATCCCTCAGAAATAATTTTTGATTTTACATATGTCTTGCATCTAAATATTTACCCAAGACACAGTTAAATGTGTTCAATCAAACTGTATAATTCCGCATGTCCTGATGTGCTTTAAAATGCATCTGAAATATATGTTATAAATGGAGAAATATATGTGAACCATTACGCATTGAGTTGACAATTGTTTTAGGTATGCCCGTTTGCGCTAAGATGGAACCCGGTCACAAAAATGGCCTTGAGAGGGGCACGAGTCGCTATTCGGCTTGTCCCAGAATAATGCGAGTTGGTCACGAATGTCATCAGCTTGTGTACCTGGCTACGTGGTAATTGAAGTTCAGGCTTTCAGCACTTGCTTGAAGTTACCAACCGTAGTTCCATTGTAATTGAGGCCAGTCATAAAGGTGTTGTTTTATAGTCTTTATTATGTATTGAGAATTAAGAGATATATTGTCTTGTCTTTGACTATTGAAATAGGGTGATTGAATTGGGTTTTAACACCACTTTTACACATTACCTTTTATATCTCCATTCTATTATGATAAATACCGTGGACCTTTTCACTGACCTGTGAAGATCCAGGTTAGAAATGGTCTTCAGCAACCCATGCTTGTCGTAAGAGGCGACTATGCTTGTCGTAAGAGGCGACTAACGGAATCGGGTGGTCACGCTCGTTGAATTGGTTGATGCATCGTATCCCAATTACGTAGTTCGATGCTCATGATGTCAACTGATCCAGACTGTATGCAGAGTTAAAAAACAAACAATCGGATCAATGATGAATCAGCTATACAGCTATTTCCACCTTATGGTCCCAGGTGATAAAAGTTTTGTTGATATTTATTTTTTTCAATCTGGTGACCAAGTCAGATTGTGAAATGCATGCCCATCTTTGTGTCTAAAATGCCACATTAAGATCACAAACAAATAATATATGTTACATATGCTTTTTGTATTGTTTGTTGTAAGTGGTTCTGAATCTCACATTATTTGACACTTCGTAGTTCACACTTCTGTTGATTGTGCAGATGTTGTAAATACAGGCTCTCCTAGACTATCACCAACAGTATTGATGTATATTGGATGTAACTTGCTCATATCTACAGTGTTAATGTGCAAATCATTACCACTGTCTATGTACAATGTATATATACCTAGCTAGATGACAAGGCCTGTAGGTCTGTTTGACTCAATCCGTCCAATCAGTGAACTTTCAGGAGATTGTGATCACAGTGGATATAGGAAAAATACACCAGTCACCATATTGTACAGTCTCTATACATATATACATACTGGTAGTAGTTTGTGATATTTGACAACATAGTCCCAGCATATATTACAAAGGAACAATGGTCAGGATCACATGCAGCCCTTGCAGTAGCAGATTTGATCCTATATGCTCAAAATTGTGGGACAGACATTGTGTGTTGAGGCTAGTGTCTGGACTAGGGGACTGGATATTTTTTCAGCCACAACTGCAAAAAAACGTATATTTTTAATTAAAACTATGATCCTAAATATTTAAATAAAACAAACATGTTTCATCAATATTTTTTTGTGGCACAATTCATTTCTTTTCAACAGTATCAAGATATTTTTTAAGCATTTTTTTGGAACAGTTTATCTTCACGATATGGCTGAAATATTGCTGATGTGACATTAAATTTCACTCACTCACTCACTGGAACAGTTTAGTTCTTTTGAAACAGTCCCAGGCACACTCCCCCCTCCAAAGAATATGAAATCATCGGTCCCTAACAGCAGCAATAATAGTAATATCATAATAGTTATCATAATACATATATTTATATAGTGCTGAACTTCTAACCCATTTTGAACAGCTTATTTTCTGCGCTTGACATGGGAAAATAATGTGTCAAGTTTAATAGTATTTTTTAAGAGATGTTTTGACTGCAGAAAGATTCAACGATTTGGATACATTTTGAGATCTTTATAAATCTTGTGCCAAGCTTTGGACCTTCAACTGAGAATGAATATTCTGCTGGGGTGGTCTGGTTTGACTGATATACAATATACAATATACAATATACAATATACAATACAATGGGA